CAATGTTTTTCTCCCTCCAGTTGAAACGTGATGAATGGGCCCCTGACTTTGGTCCCGCCGACTTTGTACCATCTTGGGGCGCGACGGTAACTGGTGCTCGTAAGTTCCTCATTGCCTATAATGTGAACCTGATCAGCACTAAAGAACAGGCTCATCGCATAGCACTGGACATCCGGGAGCAGGGTCGAGGGAAGGACCAGGTGGGTTATTTATTTAGCTTTTCATGCTGTGGGTGTTGCTCGCTGTCATGACATGATTAAAATGTCTTTTTAGGATTTCTTTCTTTCTGTTTTGTTGATGAATTTTTCAGATTTTTCTTTTTTAAATCAATTTTTCCCTAATATTTTCCACTTTTTGGAGAATTTGTTGAAATTTCCCATTATTTTTGAATTTCTTATGTTTGTTCGAAAGGTTTACTTAATTAAATAGGACTTGATATGTAACTAAGTATTAAAATCTTTTTTTCTTCTTCTCTGTGTTCATAAGCCTGGGCAGCTGAAGAAGGTGCAGGGGATTGGTTGGTACCTGGATGAGGCTAACCTTGCTCAGGTTTCCACCAACATTCTGGACTACGAGGTGACACCCCTCCATGCTGTGTATGAGGAGATCTGCAGAGATGCGGAGGTTAGAGCTGTGTACTTTGTGTCGTTTCTGGGATGCTTAGAACTCAAATTACACTGCTGGAAATAGTTTATTTTGATGCACATGGTGTTTGTTTGCAAATTAGCATTATAATACTCATTTTCATTTTTCCTGTAGTATATAAAAATTGATGTATCTCAAAAATAAAATTATGAAGACACTCAAAATAAATTTCCTGTTGTTGGAAACTTTTTTTTTGCAACTTTTTTTTATTTACAGTTTTGAGGGATACACCTCTTAAAACCACTTAAGCCCCACGCCCCCGGTATCGGGGGCAAAAAGGAGGACATCTCGTTTAATCGGTTATAACACGGGATGAGAAATATAAGTCCAGACATGTGTGGTATCCACAGAAACCTCAGAATCTCAGCTAAAATGTCATATAAACCATTTCTACAACCACCAAACACATCGAAAACAAGCCATGATTAAACAAGCAGTTACGTAAATGCACAGAAGACCGCTAAACAAACAAAACCGAACTGGAAATTCTCCAGACTTCATGTAACCGGCTAAAGATAGGCTGGTTAGCTTCCAGAGCTATCACTGACTCCACACATCAAGTTTCACCACGATCAGACCAAAATTCACTGAATGAGCTGCAAAAGAAGACCACTAAAACACACAGCGGCGCAAATGCGCTAAGACAGAGATCTGCTTACCATCCCGATTTCCTCCATTATTTTCGCTGGTAGCCGGTAGCCACATGATTACCAGTAGTTACCATGCCTACCTAGAGCTGTCAGAGCTGTTTTCTGTCAACAACCTCCATTTTAGACCCACCTACAGACACGTGACTGGACAGACGCCACATGCAGCAAATTTGGGCCCACGTCTGATTGGTTTAAGTGACGTGAACGTGGCATCGTTACTTTGATTCTATTGGCTAAAACGATTAAAAAAGAGGTGTCAATCATGCAAATTGACCAAAAGAAACCAAAGTTACAGCCCCTTGGAGTTTAAAGGGCCATTGACCAATTAAATGCTTCATGCGCACTGCAGAAAAGGGCCATTACCATGTAAATGTGTGGTTAATTCTTCAAAAATATATTTTTAAAAA